TCTCTCTTCTGTAACACTCTCCAATTAACACTCTCCCATCACAATCTCCAATTAACACTGTCTCCGAGTCACACTCTCCCCTCACACTCTCCCCTCACTCTCCCCCCAGTCACATACTCCCCTCACACTCTCCCCTCACACTCTCCCCTCACACTCCCCTCACACTCCCCCCTCACACTCTCCCCTCACACTCTCCCTTCACACTCCCCTCACACTCCCCCCTCACACTCTCCCCTCACACTCTCCCCTCACACTCTCCCCTCACACTCTCCCCTCACACTCTCCCCTCACACTCTCCCCTCACACTCTCCCCTCACACTCCCTCACACTCCCCTCACACTCCCCCCTCACACTCCCCTCACACTCTCCCCTCACACTCCCCTCACACTCTCCCCTCACACTCCCCTCACACTCCCCCCTCACACTCCCCTCACACTCTCCCCTCACACTCCCCCTCACACTCTCCCCTCACACTCTCCCCTCACACTCTCCCCTCACACTCTCCTCACACTCTCCCCTCACACTCTCCTCACACTCTCCCCTCACACTCCCCTCACACTCTCCCCTCACACTCTCCCCTCACACTCCCCCCTCACACTCTCCCCTCACACTCTCCCCTCACACTCCCCCCTCACACTCCCCTCACACTCTCCCCTCACACTCTCCCCTCACACTCCCCCCTCACACTCCCTCACACTCCCCTCACACTCCCCCCTCACACTCTCCCCTCACACTCTCCCCTCACACTCTCCCCTCACACTCTCTCCTCACACTCCCCTCACACTCTCCCCTCACACTCCCTCACACTCCCCTCACACTCCCCCCTCACACTCTCCCCTCACACTCTCCCCTCACACTCTCCCCTCACACTCTCTCCTCACACTCCCCTCACACTCTCCCCTCACACTCTCCCCTCACACTCCCCCCTCACACTCCCCTCACACTCTCCCCTCACACTCCCCTCACACTCTCCCCTCACACTCCCCCCTCACACTCTCCCCTCCCACTCTCCCCTCACACTCCCCTCACACTCTCCCCTCACACTCCCCTAACACTCTCCCCTCACACTCTCCCCTCACACTCTCCCTTAACACTCTCCCCTAACACTCTCCCCTCACACTCTCCACCAGCACATACTCCCCTAACACTCTCCCCTCACACTCTCCCAGTGTCAAGTACTCCCCTCATACTCTCCCATAACACTCCCAGAGTCACGTACTCCATCACTCGTGGAGGGGGGAGGGGGTCGAGTTGCTCATTATCAGCAGCAGCATCAGCAGCAGGAGCATCATCATCAGCAGCAGCATCATCATCATCATCAGCAGCAGCATCATCAGCAGCAGCAGCAATAGCAGCATTGGCGCAATGACAGAGTATCTTGAGCAAACAGCAGCAGCAGCCAGCCAGCCAGCCTTTCTCCCTCATACGTCTGTGCCGTTGCCTCGACCACTCACCCACACTCACCCGCTCGCTCACCCCTTCCGCCTTCCCGCAAACTCACTGGGTCGACCACTCACCCACCTGCAAATGCCCTCGCCCAGTCGCCCACCCACTCATTGACTCTCCAGCTCACTCACTCGCTCACTCACTCTGCCGCTTGATTGCCCGCTAACTCATTCACCTCCTCATTCGCTCACCTCCTCGCTCACCGTCTGGACAGTACAAACGGTCAGCCGCTCACCCGCCCACGCAATCGCTCACCTTCTCGCACACTCACTCACTTACTCACCCACTCACTCACTTACTTACCCACTCACTCACTCACTTACTCACCCACTCACTCACTCACTTACTCACCCACTCACTTACTCACCCACTCACTTACTCACCCACTCACTCACTCACTTACTCACTCACTTACTCACTTACTCACCCACTCACTCACTTACTCACCCACTTACTCACCCACTTACCCACTCACTTACTCACTTACTCACCCACTCACTCACTTACTCACCTACTCACTTACTCACCCACCCACTCACTAACTTACTCACCCACTCACTCACTTACCCACTCACTTACTCACTTACTCACCCACTCACTCACTTAATCGCCCACTCACTTACTCACCCACTCACTCACTCACTTACTCACCCACTCACTCACTTACTCACCCACTCACTCACTCACTCACCCACTCACTCACTTGATCACCCACTCACTCACTTACTCACCCACTCACTCACTTACTCACCCACTCACTCACTCACTTACTCACCCACTCACTCACTTACTCACCAACTCAACTACCTTCCGTCTCATTCACCCTCCCGTGATCGCTCACCAGCTCGCCCCGTTCACTCACCTGTCTGCCGGTTCGCTCACCCGCTGACCCACTCACTCACCTACTCACCAACTCTCACACTCACCGCTCACTCACTCACCCTCTTACTTAACTCACTCTCTCGCAAGCTATGCGATCTCCTGCTCACTCCCTCAGTCGACTCACTCATCCACTCGTTCTCCCTTTCCCTCACCCACTTGCTCACCCACTCGCTCACCCACTCGCTCACCTACTCGCTGACCCACTCGCTCACCCACTCGCTCACCCACACTCACCCACAATCACCCACTTGCTCACCCACTCGCTCACCCACTCGCTGACCCACTCGCTGACCCACTCGCTCACCCACTTGCTCACCCACTCGCTCACCCACTCGCTGACCCACTCGCTGACCCAGTCGCTCACCCACTCGCTCACCCACACTCACCCACTCGCTCACCCACTCGCTCGCCCACTCGCTGACCCACTCGCTCGCCCACTCGCTCACCCACACTCACCCAAACTCACCCAAACTCACCCACTTGCTCACCCACTCGCTCACCCACTCGCTCACCCACTCGCTCACCCACACTCACCCACTTACTCACCCACTTACTCACCCACACTCACCTACTTACTCACCCCCCAACTTCCTCCATACCTCACCCACTCACTCATCGAATCCTCCACCCACACGTTCACTCACCCACTCACCCACCATGTCTTCCCTCTCCCTCACCCACCAGCTCACCTTCTCCCTCGCTCCCTTACCCATCTTACTCACTCCACACCTACCCACTCCCCCCTCCATCCCTCACCCAATCACTCACTCACTCACCCACTCACTCACCCACTCACTCACCCACTCACTCACCCACTCCCTCTCTCCATCCCTCACCCACTCACTCACTGACTAACCCACTCCCTCCCTCCATCCTTCACCCACTCACTCACTCACTCATCCACTCCCTCTCTCCATCCCTCACCCACTCACTCACTGACTAACCCACTCCCTCCCTCCATCCTTCACCCACTCACTCACTCACCCGCTCACTCACCCACTCACTCACCCACTCACTCACCCACTCCCTCTCTCCATCCGTCACCCACTCACTCACTGACTAACCCACTCTCTCCCTCCATCCCTCACCCACTCACTCACTCACCCACTCACTCACCCACTCCCTCTCTCCATCCCTCACCCACTCACTCACTGACTAACCCACTCCCTCCCTCCATCCCTCACCCACTCACTCACTCACCCACTCACTCACCCACTCCCTCTCTCCATCCCTCACCCACTCACTCACTGACTAACCCACTCTCTCCCTCCATCCCTCACCCACTCACTCACTCACCCACTCACTCACCCACTCCCTCTCTCCATCCCTCACCCACTCACTCACTGACTAACCCACTCCCTCCCTCCATCCCTCACCCACTCACTCACTCACCCACTCACTCACCCACTCCCTCTCTCCATCCCTCACCCACTCACTCACTGACTAACCCACTCCCTCCCTCCATCCCTCACCCACTCACTCACTCACCCACTCACTCACCCACTCCCTCTCTCCATCCCTCACCCACTCACTCACTGACTAACCCACTCCCTCCCTCCATCCCTCACCCACTCACTCACTCACCCACTCACTCACCCACTCACTCACCCACTCACTCACCCACTCACTCACTGACTAACCCACTCCCTCCCTCCATCCCTCACCCACTCACTCACTCACCCACTCACTCACCCACTCCCTTTCTCCATCCCTCACCCACTCACTCACTGACTAACCCACTCCCTCCCTCCATCCCTCACCCACTCACTCACTCACCCACTCACTCACCCACTCCCTCTCTCCATCCCTCACCCACTCACTCACTGACTAACCCACTCCCTCTCTCCATCCCTCACCCACTTACTCACTGACTAACCCACTCTCTCCCTCCATCCTTCACCCACTCACTCACTCACCCACTCACTCACCCACTCCCTCTCTCCATCCCTCACCCACTCACTCACTGACTAACCCACTCCCTCCCTCCATCCTTCACCCACTCACTCACTCACTCACCCACTCACTCATCCACTCCCTCTCTCCATCCCTCACCCACTCACTCACTGACTAACCCACTCCCTCCCTCCATCCTTCACCCACTCACTCACTCACCCACTCACTCATCCACTCCCTCTCTCCATCCCTCACCCACTCACTCACTGACTAACCCACTCCCTCCCTCCATCCTTCACCCACTCACTCACTCACCCACTCACTCATCCACTCCCTCTCTCCATCCCTCACCCACTCACTCACTGACTAACCCACTCCCTCCCTCCATCCCTCACTCACTCACTCACCCACTCACTCACCCACTCCCTCTCTCCATCCGTCACCCACTCACCCACTCACTCACCCACTCCCTCCCTCCATCACTCACCCACTCACTCACTCACCCACTCACTCACCCACTCACTCACCCACTCACTCACCCACTCCCTCTCTCCATCCCTCACCCACTCACCCACTCACTCACTCACTCACCCACTCACTCACCCACTCCCTCTCTCCATCCGTCACCCACTCACCCACTCACTCACCCACTCCCTCCCTCCATCACCCACTCACTCACTCACTCATCCACTCACCCACCCACTCACTCACCCACTCACTCACCCACCCACTCACTCACCCACTCACTCACTCACCCACTCACCCGCCCGCTCACTCACCTCGCACGCCGCGGGGTATCCGCTCCACTCAGTGCATTGCGAGCGCAGAGACGGCGGTCGAGGAAGTCGCCGAGCGAGGCAGTTGAAGGATTCTAGCCGAGCCTTGGACGCTGAGCTCTCTCCTCTCTTTCCTCTCTCTCTCTCCTCGCTCTTCTCACTCTCTCCTCTCTTTCCGTACGCCTCCTCGAGAGAGCGAGCGAGCGAGCGAGAGAGCCCGGCTCCGAATATTCCCGTGGATGAAGGCGGCTAGGTCAGAGCCGCCGTACAGACGAACAGATTCGAGGCGGCAAGCGCTTCCTAGCGTGCGCGTGTGTCTGCGTGTGTCGTCTGCGTGTGTCGTCTGTGTGTGTCTGCGTGTGCGTTCGTGACTTACGTGGGTGTGTGGCTTACGAGCGCGCGCGCGTGTGTGTGTGTGTGCGCGCGCGTGGACCGACGCACAAGCGGACGGTCAGACGAGAGCGATAGCGCGGACGGACGCACACGCTCGGACGAATAAAAAAAAAGACAGGGGGGAGGGGGGCGAGTTGCGAGGTGATGAGGCGAGAGGGAATGAAAATCGTTCGAAGGAAGCGAGAGAGAATAAATAAATAAAAATAACAGACCTTCCTCTGTCCTCCGTCGTAGAGCGCTGAGATGATGGCGATGTTGAGGACGGCGACGACGATGATGATGTAGGTGACGGCGCTGATAATGATGCGAGTGAGTGAGCGCGCTCGCGTGTGATGTTGCCAGAGGATCAACGGCGCCGATGAATTCGCGGCGCCGTTGAGCGCTCACGCTCTGTGTGTGTGTGCAGCCGGGAGAGAGAGAGAGAGAGACACACACACACGAGAGAGTGAGAGAGAGAGACTGAAAGAGTGAAGGCGGGAGGGGGTGTCTGGGAGTGGGGGTGTGGATCGCGAGGGGGATGAAAGAGAGAGGGAGGGGATGGAAGGAGCAATAATGGGATAGGAGAGAGAGAGAGAGCGAGCGAGGGAGAGAGGCTAAGGGAGTGATGGAGATGGATGTGGGAGAGAACGGAGATGTAGGTGCGAAATTCGGCGCGATAAGAGAGGCATGCGCTGCTACGCGCGAGCGCCGATTAAGGTCAACGCGGCTTCATCAGGGGGTGCAGCAGAGAGAACCGCACAGCGCCAGGTACTCGTTGAAGGCTGAGTCGACCGAGGGAAAAGCCAAGGGGACCGCTTTTGAATATTTGGGAATCTAACTCGGGTCTCGCTGTTCGTAACGCAGTGCGCTAAGCACTGCGCCACCGCTCCACACGCACACACGTTCATACAGATACAACACATTAACAAGTGCTGATAGCTAGGAGCAACTATGAAGGCCGGCACCGTACACGGGGGGGTGGGTTTCCAGCAACCACACCCGGCCGTCTTTGTCTCCCCAGTGGCGATGTTTTTACACACCGACAGATTTGAGTCGACATATGCATACAACGACAAAGATCCCCCCGAATAGCCTTAAGCGACTGTAGGGGCAAGTGCTGTCAGCTAGGAGCAACTATGAAGGCCGGCACGGTACACGAGGGGGTAGGTGGTCAGCACCACGCCCGGCCGTCTTTGTCTCCCCAGTGGCGATATTTTTACGCACCGCACCAGGTCCTCATTTGAGGCTGAATCGACCTAGGGGAGAGAAAATTGTCACCGGTGTTGGTGGCCGTGAGCGGGAATTGATATCGCATCGCTTGGTTCGTAACGCAGCGCGCTAACCCCCTACACATAAACACACGCACATACAGAGACAAAGATGCCCGTATAGCCTTCACAGACTATTGTGGAAAGTGCTATTAGCGAGTAGCACCTATGAAGGTTGGAACGGTACGTCCGACCGCCTTTGTCTCCCCACTGGCGATGTTTACACACCGCACCAGGTACTCATTTGAGGCTGAGTCGAGGCCCAGGACCGGTTTCAATAATCGTCACCGAGCGGGAATCAAACTCGGGCCACCGCAGCGCGCTAGCCGCTACACTACCGCTCACCCAACACACACAGACACACACATACATACACACACATACATACACACACACAGACACACACATAGATACACACACGCAGACACACACATACATACACACACAGACACACACAACATACACACGCAGACACACACAACATACACACACGCAGACACACATACATACACACACAGACATACACACACACACACAACATACACACACGCAGACACACACATACATACACACACAACATACACACACGCAGACACACACATACATACACATACGCAGACACACACATACATACACACACAGACATACACACAGACACACACGAAATACACACACGCAGACACACACATACATACACACAAAGACATACACACACAGACACACACAACATACACACACGCAGACACGCACATACATACACACACGCAGACACACACATACATACACAAACTCAGACACACACATTCATACACACACAACATACACAAACGCAGACACACACATACATACACACACGCAGACACACACATACATACACACACAACATACACAAACGCAGACACACACATACATACACACACGCAGACACACACAAACTTACACAAACGCAGACACACACATGCATACATAGACGCAGACACACACATACATACACACACGCAGATACACACGTACATACACAAACGCAGACACACACATACATACACACACGCAGACACACACATATATACACACACGCAGACACACACATTACATACACACACGCAGACACACACGCAGACACACACATACATACACAAACGCAGACACACACAGACACACACACAGACACACAAAACATACACACACGCAGACACACACATACATACACACACGCAGACACACACATACATACACACACGCAGACACACACATACATACACACAGACACACACATACATACACACAGACACACACATACATACACACACGCACAGATACACACAGACACACACATACATACACACACGCACAGATACACACATACATACAATACAGACACACACATACATACATACACACACGCACAGATACACACAGACACACACATACATACACACACGCACAGATACACACACATACATACACACAGACACACACATACACACACATACACACACACGCAGACAAAGACAAAGACGCAAATGCAACCACACTCACGTGAGCGCATTGACTGCAACTTACACTTGGCCGGCAGAGGGCGCAAGTCTACAGCGCATGCGTAATAGAGGGATTGCAAGTGGGGTGGCGGTCGTGGTCCTGGGCCTCGCCTAGGTCGACTCAGCCTTCAATAAGGTACCTGGTGCGATGTTGTGTAGTAAGCATCGCCACGAGAGAGACAAAAGCGGCCGGGCGTGGTGCTGGCCATCCCGGCCAGCCTCGTGTACCGTTATGGCCTTCATGAGTGCTACTCGCTCACAGGACTTGTCCCAAAAGTCTATTAAGGCTACACGCGAGTTTTTTGTTTGTTGTGTTCGCGGTGTTGGTGGTGGGATTTTTAATAAAATGAACACAACAACAATTCAAACGAGACGGATGAGACGAAACAAAAACATCGACACGAGTACGCAAATAAAAATTGAATCTTAATCGATTCGCCTGCCCAGAATGATCACAATTCAACTTATGGAGTTCTATAAGTCTGTATAAGTGCATGGTCAGCATGGGTCTCTCTGCATGTTGTTAGCGTCGTTGTGGACAATATTCCATATTCTATATACAGTATATAAATTATATGGAGGAACATATAAGAAGGTAACCGAATCGATTTTGTACTATAGCTGTATAATCCGCGGGTATGGAAAGCGCTTCAACCTTTTTATAGATCAAACTCGGACATGCATACCCAGCTAACATGCCGACGCTGGAATGCGGTTGTTCCCAATGTTGGCCCAATGTTGGCCCAACGTTGCCTAACGTTGCAGCAACGTCGGCCCATAATTTCACGTGGGCACCGCGGTGGCGAGATGTGAACTACCTCACCTGGTACGCAGGAGTTTGTGGGTTCGATCCCGACCCTGACGCCTGCTGTACATTTTTGAGTTTGCGTGTCTCTCCCCGTGGTCGCGTGGATTTTTTCTCCGGGTCCTCCGGGTTTCCCCCCCCACATTCAGAATGAACAACACAGCGTTGAAAATAGTTGGTTGCCATCAAGTTCCACGCGATAAGCCACTTCGTTGAGCCATCATTTGTGGCGAGATCGCAATCTGAAAAAGCGATATTTAGTTCGGTGGGCCTTACTTGGTAAAATAAAATAAAAAATAAAATGTGTCCACAGTTTTATTGCTCGGTCAGCACTACGCAGAACGGTGCAGTGCGCTTCTGAAACGAAGCTCAACGCCACCGGTCACGATCACGGCCACAACATCGTCGATTGCCACCCTAGCACAGACGACGCGAACGGGGGGTGTCAAACCCCGGACGGGTGTGCAACCCCGAGGTCCGTGGCTCAGTAGGTCTGCGAGTCTCTGTTGACCAAAGTATTCGGCGATGCCCGCTGCTGCTGTTGCTGCTGCATTAACGACGACGACGACGACGTCGAACAACCCAATGCATTTGTGCATTAGCCAATTGATTGGATTTAATGCAGATTGTGACATATTTTGAACCACTTCTTTTCGCCTTATTGTCGTGGCTTCCAAGGGATCCGCCGATAACGCTTCTCGCTGTAGCTTTGGTTTTATTGTTATTCTGATGGGGTTTTATTTTTGAGCTCGGTGTTGTCATCGTTAAAATTTTTATTTGGTTGTTCATTTTTGTGGACCTGCGTTGTACAGGAATATTTTGATGTTTTTTTTTTCCTGGATTTTCTGTTTGCACATAGTCACAAAGTCACTTTAAGATGTTTTCTTGTTCATGTTTTTTGTTTGTTTGTTGCGGTTGCACCCGATTCAAGAGCCGAATGGCTCACAGGGCTATACCAAATAAATGAAAACTATGAAAACTAAACTATGAAACTACAGCCCTTTGAGATTCATAATTTGAAATCCGCGAAATGCATCTTGGATAATTATCATGTTATCTTCAATAGGGGGGAAAAAACCGTCGAATACGTAACGTTTCGGGGTAATAGCCTCCGTTTGTGTGCTACGAAGAAGGGCCATTGTCCGAAACGTCGCCTAATGTACATTTGTTCTAATTTGAAGGCCCCGCCGTCATTGACGAATGCGTTGCGTTGTTTACGAAGATGCGCGCAGGTTTCTGAGTCTCTGTGCAAATGTACGGTGTCTACATTGACAGGTCTTGTGTTTGTCAATCCACTGCTGGATGATGAAGGCATCCTCCCCAGCCGTCCCGCCCATGCATGGAGTGGGTTGTGAGGTGGGGGGGGGGGGTGTTTGACCATACTTCACCACTCTGGTCAGTGAGGGTCCTTAAAGGCGGTGCATCACGGAGCGCTTGATTCGCACACGCACACACACACAATACCCATGCAGTATGCCAACTCGCGCAACTGATGTTATCCGTGGCCTGGACGTGAACCTCAGTAGCCCGGTCTGTGTGTTGCACCGTGCAAACCAACCTCGTCACTGCTCCCCGCAGGCCCTTTAACAGAGCGGTCACCACACACACGCGCACGGTGCTTCACAAATCACTCCGTGAAATCGTGCAGCTAAGGGGACCCAAGGGGACTTGTGACCCCATACAAAAGCCCCCCACCCCCACCTTCTCCACACCGCCCCACAAAGCCCCCCCCCCCCACTCTTTGCGCCCCCGGCTATCAGAACCCTTCTCGATTTAAAAGGCCCCGGCCGAATTTCTCGTCTTCTCTACCAACCATTGCCCCCCCCCTCCCCCTCCAGC